CACACACACACACACACACACACACACACACACACACACACACACACTGCATTGATCCTCTCCATCCATCAACCTGCAGACAGGTCTATCGTTAACAGAAATGCATTCCAGTGCTGATTTTTTTTCCGTTTACAACAATTGGAGCTTCTGAAAACACAGACATGGTGCCATCATTCTTTGCTGCAGTTGAAGAAATATCTGTCTGGCATGTGAAATTTTAATCTCTAGTTGGTCTCGCTATCTCCACCAGTCTGTAAAATGGGCATAAATAGGAGAAGGATGTCAGTCTAAGGTTTTGCATGAAATGTTCTAATGGCAGCGCTCTTATTCATGTTTTCCTGCAGGCGTTTTGGAACAAAATGTGCATCATGCCAACAGGGGATCCCTCCGACGCAGGTTGTGCGAAAGGCACAGGACTTTGTGTATCACCTGCACTGCTTCGCCTGCATCATGTGCAGCCGGCAGCTGGCCACCGGGGACGAGTTTTACCTCATGGAGGATGGGAGGCTGGTGTGCAAGGTGGATTATGAGACGGCGAAACAAAACGGTAGGTCTGCGTGCATCCAAAATATTAAACAACAGCACAAGCTGATACAGAAAAAAATTCAATTTAAAAGAAAAATACAGGTTAAAACTTTACTTAAAAATACTTTTTTTTTCCAAAAATGATGTCATTTATATCCATACAATCAGACACAGCTTAAGTGATTCAGTCTGGCTTGACTTCACCACATCAGAAACACAGTAGAGGATGTGACAGATCAAGCTGTGCACTGTGTAATGCAGTGAAATGACTACTGGCTGTGGATCTATGTTGTTTGTCGTCTGGGTGTGTGTGCTGTCTCCCCCCCTTCCTCTCTTCTGAGATTTTCATGCATCTCTGATTGATTATGTAAAGTGAAGCAATGCTCTTAAATGGTGCGACTCCAATAACTCCATTCCTCTGGCACTCCGGCTGTGTAGATTTATGTCCTGTGCTGTGGGAGTGGGACAGATGCACAAGGACAATAATGCACTTCCATACATGACCATTCGCTTTATTTAACACGCATACATTCCACGCAAAGGCCGAGGGGCACTGACTGTTAAGGCGACGTGACAAATGTAAGACAAAGTCACTCAGACTTGTAATGATGTTTTCAGATGATTCAGAGGCGGGGACCAAGCGACCGAGGACCACCATCACGGCCAAGCAGCTAGAGACCCTCAAAAGTGCCTACAAAAACTCGCCGAAGCCAGCACGCCACGTCAGAGAGCAGCTGTCCTCGGAGACGGGGCTGGACATGAGAGTAGTGCAGGTAGAGGGTTTAATTCTTTCTCATTCAGACTACTGCAGGTCTCCATGTTCCTGCAAAATACTCTTTGTTATCTCCAACCCTGTACAACATGCAGTAGCAAAAAGACAACATCATTTCTGGGTATCATAAACTTAGCTGCGATTCTTTTTTTTAAATAATAAGCTTTGTCACAAATGTTTTAGCCCCATATGACCTGCTCACAAGCTGAGGTCCCCAGTTACCCAACGTTTGTTTAAAATATAGATTATGTAAAACAAGCACACAGGCCTTTATTATCTGTCTTTGTTGCTGAAAAGATTGCATTCTTTTAACGATGTTACAAAGACGTAATTCAAACACACGATCTCTGAAGGATATATATATAAAACTTGACATATTTATTCATTTACGTTAATGTAAGGACTATAATTATTTTGAGCCTCTTGTTATGACTTTATGCCCGGCATTAACATTTCTCTTCATGATTTTCTTACTTTTTCCTGCTGATTTAATATTAAATTGTGTTTTTTTGTTTATAATGTGCATCTTAGTTAGTTAAGCGTAAGTTGGTTATGCATTCCAATGTGTTCACAACTATTGTGTCAATTAAAATGGATTTAAGAATTTAACATCTGAAACATCATGAAAACATCGAGTATGTCTGATTAAACTGAAAAAAATATTATATACGATGATTGAATTGATGAATAACAATATTAGGTGTTATTTTCACTTAATGATAACTATTATTATTTCCATCAGGTGTGGTTCCAGAACCGGCGAGCAAAGGAAAAGCGGCTGAAGAAAGATGCAGGTCGACATCGCTGGACCCAGTTTTATAAAAGTGTCAAACGTAGCCGAGGAGGAACTAAAGTGGAGAAGGAAAGCTCGGCTGACGACGCAGGACTCAGTGACAGCGAACTGAGCTTCAGAGGTATTTAATGTGTGGGGAACTTCAACCGAGTCAACGAACCGAGTCCATATCTATTATTGCTTCGGAGAGAGATTCCTGAAAGGAAATTGTCAGTCATGCTGTCGCGCTAATGGGATTAAGGGAGCCTAAAAGCTGCTAAATGATATGGTGCAGCAGCAATTGAATGTGTCTTTGTGGCAATTTATTTGTTTCCTTGCATTGTTCAATGCACGGTGTCAGGAAAATCCAAAACAGAAATCTCATTTCGCATTCCCCTCACACCTCCCGTTGGCCGCTGACGTATTCTCCTGCCTCCGTTTGTCGCCAAGATGGAGCTTATTGGAAAAGGGAGACGGTCCTTATTGGGATGCAAGCGATATTTTAGACATCTCTGTGTTATTTAATGTTCACAAAACTCGTTTTGGGTAGCCATAAAACTCTTCAAGCCGCTTTTTAAAAGAAGGCCATTTTTATGAGAAATGAAAACATGGTGACAGAAACTCTATAAAGCATATGAGGCTTTTAGTCAATTAGAGAGAAAGCGCTCTGGGGCATTGTTGTTATGGAAGCCACTCAGTGGAGGGATTGAGATGGAAACAAATATTCTGTGCACGCATACATACCTCCGTTGTGAGAGAAGAAAGTAAAGCACATACTTTCTCACCAACAAAACTCAAATGCTTATCTGATACTTACCCGTCCACTCACTGTACCTGTGAAATCCACATAAATCTTACTCATAAAAGCACTTAACGGTATTGAAATATAACAACTATATAATGCTCTCGCAGTTGACAGGACTGTTGATGTGTGTCAAAAGTTTTTACACCCCTCATGCCAAGTGCTGGTGTCTCCTTCACAGACGACCAGGTCCTGTCGGATCTCGGCCACACCAACGGGCTTTACGGGAGCGTCGGGGACATGACCAACAGCGGGGTGCTGAACGGCGGCTTCTCTGTCGACGCAGCGGGGCAACCCTACCACGACATCCGGGCAGGAAGCCCCTATGGTCTCCCCCAGTCGCCCTCCTCCATCACGTCTCTGCCCGGCCACACCCCTCTCCTCAACAACCTGGGCTTCAGCATGGACAGTCTGGTGGTGCAGGGCGGGCCGGGTGGCGTGGGACAGGCTCTGAGGGCCATGGCAGGGGGCCCGACCTCAGACCTGTCCACGGGAAGCAGTACAGGATACCCCGACTTCCCCACCAGCCCCGCCTCATGGCTGGACGAGATGGACCATTCCCAGTTTTGAGTCTCGAACGCGGCAGAAGATCTCTGTGGGGATACGGCAAAACAGACTTATGAGGCTTTACATTTCTTTCTATCACCCTCCAAGACTGGTATGTTTTGTGATTTTGGGTGAAGAGGAGGAGAAAGAGAAGAAGTGTGACTTTCAGTCCCTCAGCAGTTGTAAAGGTGAGGCAACGATGAAGCCCGACCAGACGCAGTGAAGAACACCTCCAAACCGCTTGAATGTTCAATCTCAACACTGTATCATAGAACTTTTGGTATCACCTGACTTTATTTTGTTCTTTCACTCTGAGAATGAGACTGGATTTCGTTGGATTAATGCTCACAGAGGAGCTAATACTGTCCCCGAAAATAAACCATCCCTGTCTATCAGCTACAACAATAGGGCTTCAATCTAGATCAAAGTCCCTATGAGACCCAAGAGGCACCTGCATGCTTCTGACCCATAATAAGTAGGACTGCTGTCTGGCCATATCAAAGCCTTTTACATTGGCAATGCACTTTACTCTCCTCTTCTTTTTTTCTACACATATAGACAGGAATGCAGAGAGAGGAAGAGAGAAAAAGAGGAGAGACATATGCACAAGGCAAAAAACACAGTGTTTCATTGGGAGAGAAATTTACAAGAACAGTGGCACAAGTGTGAATTTTGAACCATGCTGATGTTTTTTAATGTGTTGCTGAAGCTTTCAAGTTATTAGCAAAGTAGATGGCCGTTGGTCTGTCTGTCCGTTCGTCCGTCTGTCCGTAGAAACTGATGTGTCCTCTGTTTGAATGAGGGCGAACACTGTTTGCTACACAGCAGGTCTCTCTTCTATATTTATAGTTGCTTGACTTGTTCTTGTCTGTGTAAAAGCTGCCCGAGAGGGGAAGTCTGTCAGTATTAAATGATCTGTTTCCAGACTCACCAGGCATCAAAGCTCACGTGTTGGAGGACAGTCAAGAAGTTTAGGGTTTGGAGAAATTCAACTCTAACCACTTTAGTAATATATCACACATCTAAATTATTAATTTATTTTCTTTTAAATGCACAGATGTAAGACAAGCAGATGTCCATTTATAAGACAGATTTGCAGATTCCTTTGCAGATATTATTATCAATTTAAATACCTTGAATTGACATTAAAAACACCAACAAGTATTAGCAGGAAGACGGATAAAAGTCCCTTTGTGTTGGCTCTTCTGTTTCCTCAGTCTGATCCGGGCTTCTCTTGGTAATCTACTCAGTCCAGCAGAGCTCTAGCTTTGCCTGCTATCAACCTACTTACTGACCCCAGATGTGTTGTCAATCTGTTCTCCCTCTGCCTGGCCCCCATGTCACAGGGATTACCACAGAGCCCCCCACTATCAGGGCTGATACCCTACTGTCGATTCAGCGCTGGACTGATATGTTTCTGTCAGTTCTGGTCACATCAGCCACATCTTAAAGCCTCCCACGACAACCGAGACAGAGGAGTGATTCACTGGAAGTTTCTGATTCTCTTGAAATGCAAACTCTCTTCTACCAGTTTGATTTGACCTGTTGAGCATGTCAGAACCAGTAGCTATTTCGATCTTAAGGATTGCTTAAAAACACATCCTTACTCCTATTTCTGTTTCGTCAATGGAAGAAAAGAAATCGAATCTCATACGTGTGGTCACCTTTTCGAGAGAAATTGCCAAGTTCTTTTTTTTAACCAGAGCATCCTATTTAAGAGCCAGAAAGCAACTCAACAAACAGAAAGTGACACCACTAGGAATATCGGGTAACACTTTGGATTACAGCCCGCAAGTTGCAGCATAATTATCTAGTAAATACATGGTATCAATAAAATACTTACTGTATGGCTGTGCTGGGATTGAAATATAAGTGAAGGGGAAGATTACAATAAAGTAGTGAAGGGGGGGGGGGGGGGGTTGAGAAAATGGGGTTATTGATATTTCATTGACATTAGTATAATCTATTTTAAAAGTATGATATACTTAAATAAATAATAATGTTAAAGGGGTTTAAATATGAGTTGTAGTGTACATTATTGTTGTTTGGACACAAAACATTAGTTACAGTATAATACATATCTATGCCACCACCCTAAAGATAATCTGTAACCCATTATTCCCAGTATTCTCACCTTGATCATACCAGTAGATAACCAGTAAGTGTTCTATTGGTACTTCATGTGGACAAACAATTTTCAGTGTAATTTGCGGGCTACAGTATGAAGTGTTAAGTGAAAACCGTACACAAACACATTACCACTACAGTTTTGTTAAGTCTGTGTTGCCTCAGAAGTTTGCATCTTAATTGTTGTAAATTTTGTACAGTTTGAAACCGTGTTGATCGTCTTGTTTCATGAGCGCTATTTATTATTGCCATGTGTCTTTGAAAAAGATGTAAAAGAGAGCACTGAATTTATTCATTTATGCCTTCTGTGTAATGGTATGAACCGTGTACAGTCAAATCTATATGAGGAAAATAAAGCTGAATTGTCTTTGGGTTACCCTCGAGTGCATTTCTCTTTAATAGACTGGGCCTGCAGTGATGAATGTGGGAGTTAAGATTTTCAGCTGAACTTTGTTTTCGATATATCAAAAGAAAAATATCTGCTGTAGGTGTTTTTATTATTTTTGCCTTATCTAAACGCTCTTAGAGCGAGTTAACCCGCAAATTCATTTACCCATTGAGAGCATTTACCACACACTTAGGCCTCTATTCAATTGTGGAGATCCATTTAGTACCACCAACAGACAGTGGTCAGTCAGTTAACAGTGATTGATGCTGCTTTCCTCTCTCGCTCCCTGGGTGGGGGTGACAAGAAAGATACATGAAGCGAGAGAAGAAAGAGAGAAAAAATAAAACAAGTGGAGAAACAGATGCCTCGCTGGCTTCACTGATCCTCTCAGTACTAAAGAGAGACAGCAGCAGATTGCAGCGCTGCACTGACAAATCTATCCTTAATCCCTGTGCTGTTAACTAATTGTAGAGTGCTTTGTGAAATATTGGAAAATATGCTTTATGGTCAGGCAAAGAGGGAATATGGCCCATATGCTGGCAGTTAGCTTGTATGTCAATATGTCAAGCTGCTAAAAAGGCTATAATGCAGGGCTGTAGCCAAGATTTTCAACCATTGAGATCATGAGTCACATTTTCCTTACCCAACCATACAACACTCTTTTTTTACTAGCAACCATTGTTGCTATGGATGTCCTCTATTTCCAGCTAATTCTAGCCCCATTATTAATGGTCTAAAGGCTGCTTCAAAGCCCCCCACTGTTGCTATTTGTTTTGTCATTCTGGTGGACGAATACTAAATACATTAAATCTTATTTTTATATTTGTTCAAAAAAAATAAAGTCAAATTTACATAATATCTAGAGCCATGCTAGCGGCTCTTTGAGGCTTTACTTAGGCACAGCAGTGCTTTGAGTTAAACGCAAACATTAGCATGCTAACAATGACAATGCTAGCATGCAGATGTTAGCAGGCATAGCTTATCGTACTCACCATCTCATTTTAGCATGTTAGCAAGCTAACCGTTGCTACTTAGCACTCAACACAAAGTACAGATGGGGTTAATAGGAATGGGAAGAGTTTTGCAGGTTTTCAAACAAAAGTATTGGACAAATTTTGATCTGATGATGGCGCTACGTGAAAAGTTGAGGGATCACCAAAGTTAGTAAAATTGACCATGAACCACAATGTTACTCTACGAGTCCAGTCGGCAGCCTTTGTTGTATATTATTCGTCGTCTCTCTCGCCTCACATCCTGCAATCTTTCTACTGCTGCCTCTCTGTTGAAGGCATAAAATACCCAAATAATAATAACAAAACAACCATGAAAAAAATTCCAGAAACAATACAGTGGACGTGACCTCTGTGTCCTCATTTGTAGCTATGGCCCTGACCATGTGTGTGTGTGTGTGTGTGGCTGCTCGGCCTTTGCTAATGGTTCTTATTAGCTTTTAGGTTACAGTGGATTTATTCCCTATAACTATGGTGTTGGCTAACTATGTATAGAATTATAATGAAATTACACCACGGTGTACATCTGTATGAAGCTCATTTGTATGCAGCAATGTGCAGCACTTGTCTGAGAGCTGGCCAACCTAACCCAAACTTAAGTGTTATCGATTCCTTTGCGTTTTAGCTATTCCTGTTACATTATAAAAACAAAAAGCAAACAGTCAGTTGGTTGGAGTTTGCATAAAACGCCACAAATTGAGCTGATTTTTATTTAAGCATTGATTGGCTGGGCTATGGGCATTAATGGATACGCTCTAATAGTACAAGCCTTACAAAGATAAAAAGCCACACAGACAGTTCAGATAATTTACACGCCACTTACAGCACTAGTATACAAATAAATCTGTGGGAACTCCACCACTGTTGCTTTTGCGAAGATGACAAACACAAGCACAAATGCCATTATCATCGATCGCAAGGCTTTTATTACAAACTTCCTGAAGGAAACTGTTTTTTTTTTGTTTTTTTTTCTGACTGAGGCAAAAGGGAATAAATTAACATGCAAAATAGAGAGGATTTGTTTTCGCCCAGAAGCCAATCCCGCACCATCAAGACAGGGCATTTTTCTCCCCAAACAACTCCATCGGGCCTGCAGTGAACAATGATCCGCAGGATGACGGAGCGAGTCTTAAAGAGGGACTGGAGTCAAACAGAGGCCTCTCAATGACACCCTCAAGGTTGTGAGCTCGATGCTGTTTTAATGTGAAACTGGGCCTTTTTCCACTCAATAATGATCCTGCTGCACATATCGACTATATGAGAGGTAACCAAAGGAGGAGGGTTCATATCCCCGAGGAAACTATGATAAATACTGTAGTGACGATAATATATTTGTTTTATTGAAGGCTGCGGTCTCCAGCTGTAGTTCTCTTGTGGTTTATGTTTATTGTTTGTGACACAGATGCTGTGAGAGAGTGTAAAATGACTGTTGGCTTATCTGAAGTCTGAAAGCTAAGGTCCTTGTTGGTGGATGGCAGAAACGCTTGTTCATCACCATAAACTACACATAAAGCTTTAGAGCTGAGCCTTGGACACACACACACACACACACACACACACACACACACACACACACACACACACACACACACACACAGTGAATGAGCCTCTGATATAAGTGTTTGAGTAGCAGAGGTATTTCTGCTTACTGTTGGTTTCCCAGCCACGCTGCTCAGGGCGTGTGTGTGTGTGTGTGTGTGTGTGTATGGGGTGGAGGGGGGTAAATGGTTGCATTAAGAGCTGGCCAAAGCAATGACATGGTATTGCTTTTACAGGAGAGAGAAAGAAGTGAAGAGGTAAAAAAAAAAAAAAAAAGAGAGCGTGCAGGATGAGGGTGAGAGAAAGATGAAAAGGGGAGTGATGAGAGTGGTAAGGAGAAGAGATGGAGGACTCCCTCAGGAGGAATTGTTAAAGAGGCGCACACACATCCACAAATACATCACAGGTTCCCGGCAACAAAAACAAATTACTCTCCTTTGCTGTCTGAATTAATGCATTTACATTACTTAATATCTTAGTTATGAGTCTCGTTCTGGTTTTTATTATATTGGGGATCTGTTGTTTACATGAAACCTGGATATTAATATCCCTGAACACATTATTCTGATGGTAACCAGGTTTCTGTTGGTCTGCCTGCATGTGCATCTCAGCCACTCATTTCTTAAGTTAATTCAACAATTGAGAATGAACACATTTTGAAATCGTTTAGATTTAGAGTCTCCATCTGATCACTAATTGTTAACAAGAGTGATGATACAATTTAAGATCTGCACTGCATTACGGAGGTCAGACTTTCCCTTTACTTCAGCTAGTTGATCATCATTACATTACATCATTTACCACCATATTTCCTCTTTTACTGACTAACTACTACGTAACTTGAGTTAAAGAAGTACCTGCATACATGAAGGAGAATGATCAGAAACCTGTGTACTCATGCCATTGTATACTACTGGGGTACTCCGCCCGGCATATCCAGGTTTGTCAAAACCGGGATAAGGGTTTAGCGAGGTTTCTGAAAACAGGGAATGGTTTTGGCTTGCGCAAAATATAAAAGGTTTACTCCAAAAACCTGATCATAACCAGGACCCTCACGCACGTGTAAACACGCTCATTCCCTGCTCTTCTTTAGTTCAATGCGGATGTAACTTGATGCTAAGTGTTGGCCATAGGAGGCCATTGTCAGGGGAAAGTGGCCTCACTTATAGTCAGTGACGAAACATGTAGAGTCATCATCTCCTCGATAATTAATTGAATATATACAAGTACAGTATGCCTATTCAACATGGAGATGCATCTTCAGGACACTGTAAAGAATTGTTGAGGGATAAAAAGCAACTTTGAATTTCATTCCAAAATATAGTGCAGTAAAAGTATGAAAGCACTCAAGCAAAGTACTGGTACCTCAAAACTGTACCTAAGTTTACTGCTTAAGAAATTGAGGCTTATTCATTTTCACCTCTGAAAAATGCATAAATATTCAGAACGGCTGAACAATATTGGACCCTGGGGGGGGGAAGGAGTCTGCGGTTTGGAGAGGGAGGGAGCTGCAGTGTCAAAAGTGAAGAGCTCAGAGGAAAATTGAAGCCCCATAATGGAAGCATAATGGGCTTAGTGTCAGAGTCTTGCAGACGAGCCGGGGTGGAAGCACGACTGCCGTCAACCTCTCTTACCTCTAGCCAGTGTAACGGGGTTTAGGAAGCAATGCGGAGACAACAACTGGCCCCAAACAGGCTTTAGAGATACACCAACAGCCTAATGGCTGGATGTGGATGGAATTCATAACAGCAAGATGGTCACTGGTTGCGTCTTTGTGGGATTGTTGCGCACCATGTCTCAGACTCAGGCTGAATACTCAAACGCTTTCCTCTCAACTCATTGAGGGTTCCTCCTCAAAATTCATGACGGGAGAGGCAGAACATTTCATTGAGGAAGGCTGTATGGCTGGAGTTTGTAAAAGTGAATGATGATACTTTTGAAAAGTATACTTCTTCTGTGTGATTTGTAAAGGAGCCCATGGACAGGAGGACAGGACATGGATGCCGATACAGACATCATGTGGAGACATTTTAATTCACCTCATGTATGGCACAGCACACTTGCATCTCAATTCACTGCAAGCACTGTACAACAGCTGTCAAGGCAAAAATTGAATTTGAAGTGCCGCCCCTGGCGATGACTACCAATGCCGAGTAGACCATCTACTGCCGTCATAGATCTGTGAGTAACGGACAGGCTGCAACCAGACATGTTGAGGCGGTTATCTAAGGCCTTGTGTTGAGGCAGATTTCCAGTTAAGTCAAACACTGGGGGATGAGGGCAAGCGTGGAGCCAGGGAGTGTGTTAGAGAGTAAAGGATTAAGCTTTGTCCCTGCTGTTGTGTACAAAATGTGCATTTGCATCTTTGTGAAGCTGTAGTTAAGATGCAGGATCCAGATTTAGTGTATTCTCATCTGGTGGAGTGTGTCCGAGTGTCTGAGTGTGTGTGTGTGTGAGCTGAGGCAGAGAGAATGTGCTGATCAGAGGGGCTTGAGGACGAGTAAAGCAGATTTGGACTCAGACCATGTGTTGGTTATTTTTGGAGAACATCCAGCTCTCTCCTATATGACATAATACCACAGAGGCAGGTTGTAGAGTCCAGCGCTGTATGAACAGTGTGTTGTGCGTATACTGTGAGGTCGATGAAGATGGGCCATTTTAGTTAGTTGATGATTCCAGCCGTGTGTTATCATTGGTTTTGACAGCATTATATTACAGACAAATAAATGAGGTTTCATTGAACTTATATTAGTGCTCATTTGTATTATGGCATACCAACATGGTTAGACTTAAAGCACGGTCAAGTTGTTGGTGATGTGATTATAGTCTATTCGTTTTTATTTTCTCTCTCTGGACTTTTAATATTGCTACCTACATTTGCAGGTCCAGGTCCTGGTAGGGGGTGTTTTCTGTGCGATACCCCCAAAGTTTTCTACCGTTTTTAAAATGTTCCGTGTTTGCTTTGTGTAACTTACCCATTTTGTAAATCATTTAAACTCAAAACACAAATGTTAGTTTATTCCAATGAAGCTTATCATAAAGGATCTATGTTTCCAAACTGTATCAATGAAAAGCTCAGTTAGTTTAATCTGTATGGATAATGTATGCCTTAGAGTCATTGTGGTGCGATGTCAGTTCAGGTTTTACTTGAACAAGGGCTGCAGTAGTATACACTGTATACTCGTGTGTGTGTGTGTGTGTGTGTGTGTTTGAACTATAAATAATAAGAGTACCATATAGCGTGCCACACTACCATCCGATGTTGACTTTAAGTTATCTAATGAGCAGAAAACAACTCGGAGGGAAAGTATTTGTTGAAGACTTTAATGTGACAAATGATTAAAGCATTCCTTGAACGTAACGACTGAATCATGAACAAATGGTCAGAGGGCTGACCCTGACTGAAAGGCCTGGCTGATCGGCAGACCTGGGCAGTAGGAGTGGACGATATGTAAAAAATATTTGATTTGACTATGAATTATTGGGAATTTCATATCGTTTACAGATAAATTAAGTGAATGGGAATGTCTGTTTTTGGTTTTTCCAGTGACTTAAATACCTGGTAAATCCAGATATTTCATCACATTGAAGCACAAATCCTGTCATTCCGATACTGCCAATAAGCAGTCCTACTCATGATTTGCAACATTGCCTGCATTGGTCGAATACAGTAAGAGATATTTAAGGTATAACTACCTCAGTATAGCAAAATCTGCACCAGCGCTCGCAGTAGCCGACATATCACTCAACCCTACCGGGCACATAATGTTAATATGCAATATTTAGATGAAACGACATATGGTGTTCTTGCTTTCATATGTCTTATCAAACAGAAGGGCTAATGTGTACACCCTCCAAAGAGCTAAGCCAATGAAATCAAACTCACCTCAAGTATTTGAAAAATTAAATAAAATAAAACTCTATCAGCAATCCTGGTTTACTAACTGCTGGGGATGAACAGAGTCTCTTCAGGGATTAAGCAGGGATGATGAAGAGCAAATGAGCGGAACAGGGATGAAACGTGCTGGAAGATGCCCCATCTAGCCTTTCGGAGCCGTGTGCTGACGCAGGAGAGAGGAGATGGCACTGGATTCAGTGACCTCCTCGGGGAGAGAGCCCTCCGTGTCTTTGATGGACGGGTCGGCTCCAGCGTTCAGCAGGAGCTCCACGATGTCGGCAAACTCACACGCCGATGCTATGAAAAGAAGAGAGAAAAATGACGGAGGACTTATAGTTAAAAAGGACAAAAAGCAAACATTTATGCACACTTTCTGCAAGGCATTTTGTTTTTTTAGCCATGTTAGCTGGTATACGGCTGTTTGGGTGTCAATGTGTACAAAACGAATGACATTCCCATCAACCTCAGCTCAATTTATATTAAGTGCTGATTAGCAAATGTTGGCTAACACGCTAAGCTAAAATGCCGAACATGGTAAATGTTAATCCTGCTAAACATCCGACGTGCCAACATCGTCATTGTGAGCATGTTAACATGCTGATGTTAACATTTAGCTCAAAGTCTTCGTCTTGTTTAAACAATGGACCTGTAATCAGAGCAGAGGAGCGTTGTTGTGCTGCCTATCATTTACTCTTACCTAGATTAATGTCAGAATTGGGAATTTGATGGATCACTGCAGCTCATTACAGGCTGTTATGATGGTGTGAAGCAGTTTTGAGTAAATGTGCCTCATCACTTTCTTCTGCATACTGTAGTCAAGTACAGTACGCACACAGTGCTGCAGTTAATGAAAAGCCAATCTGCAGGCCCAGGACTGACACCGGCCTGGACCTGTGGTTCTCTCAAACACTTCATTTCTGCCCCATTGGCAATTTGTGCCCCACTAAAAGGGTCTTCTCTCTCTCTCTCTATGTATGAGGGGGAGGAAGTGAGGGAGGCATGCTCTTTCTTAACCCAGTTAGCATGTCTCTGCTTTCCCAATGCACCTCATCCCCCCCCCCCCCCCCTCTCTTCCTCTGTTGTTCCGAGTGCTCTCCTCCGTCAGTGTCAATCGCTCGCTCCTCTTAAAGAGCGGACTCTGTGCCGCGCCATGATCGCTGATGTCAGCAGCCACTGTGATTGACAGCCAGGCCTTTTAACCTCGAGCCCAGGTTGGCTGGCTGGCTGTGTGCATGAGATATGATGATACGTCGGAATGCATCCAAGTGTGTAAGCAAGTGTGTTTGCATGCTCAACTTGTGTCTATGAATAGCACGAGGCGTGTGAGCATCAAACGCTATCAGAGCCACTTATCTTTCAGCCGAATCAGACTAACAAAGCTTGGCTTATTTTTCCAGCCACACTTGCAGTCCTCCTCTTGTTGCTCTAAACAGCATTTTATTTAGCTAGTGGTGTGTGTGTGTGTGTGTGTGTGTGTGTGTGTGTGTGTGTGTGTGTGTGTGTGTGTGTGTGTGTGCGTGCGTGCGTGCGTCTCGCCTGGGCCTTGAGCTGTAAAAAGTGGCTGGCCCTCGGGGGAGCCGTAGAGGAGGAGAACAATTTATGGTGAGCAGTAAACCCTCAATTAATCACTTGCCAGCCACTGTGGCCCTGTGCAAAGAGAGGTGGGAATGAATTTTCATTCTCTGCTATTTGTCTCTTGGAGTTCATCGCTTATGTTTATTAGTCATCTTTTTATGCCCCCATCCTCGGGGCTTCCTTTGCCGAGTGCGTTTGTGTGTGCAGATCTCCAGCAGGTGATGCAACATGCACACACCAACGCCACCAAGCTGGGGGACAGATGGTGCAGCCACACACACACACACACACACACACGCACACACTCAGAGGACAGGGGAAACGCCCCTCCGGGACTTTTGTGTTGGGGCATGAGAGGGTCAGGGGAGTCTAAGGACCAGTGCTGATTTCCTCTGGGAGGTCTGCCGATTATTAGACACACACACACACACACACACACACACACACACACACACACACACAGAGAACAAAACCAGACAGGAATCCACACATGCATACCAAAGGACACACACAAACACACACACACAAATGTGGGCAAAGAATCAAAAACAAGCTGCTGCATATAAAGAGAGTTCGCACACAGACAACACAATGATGTCAGTGCACAATCGATGTTAAGAGTTTCTTTACAAAATGTGATGTTCACCATATGCAAAAATAAACATACATACACTTATAAAAAAGCTTTATTGCATGAAAATAAAATAAACATACAGTGAGTATACAACATGTTGGACTATAGAGATGAATAAGAAGGTCCTTCTTACCATAATGTAGTGCTGTCTGTCCTTCATTATCCTGTAAGACAAAACAAGTCTTAATAATAATATCAGAAATAACAAAATATTTTGGTATGAGAGAAATTACTTTGCTCAAACTTCCCAAGAGTCAACAGGGAAATGTTCAGCTTCTAGAATACCAATCTCCTCCTACTTGTCGGCTGTGGACAAAAGGTGCCCCGTTTTCATTGTACCAAATGCAAATTATGAGATGATGAGATATTGATTTGAGGAACATGTGACCTGCAAATGAAATCTTTCAACTTGCAGGCGACCATATAACAGTAGAGGTGCCTCCAGCATTAATATCACAACCAGTGTTAGCCCCAACTCTACATCTCAACCTCATGTCTGCTGCTCCTCGACACATGGCGTGGTCACAGTGGAAACTAGATATAAGGTCTTAGAGACTCGAGTCCATAATTGTTCTTATTGTCAACAAACAACAATGCATTATGCTGTAGTTAAGTAGTTTGGGTGTTCATACAGTCTGTAGCTTCATTTCAATTAACTGAATATATTCTATGAGGGTTAACTTTGGACCGTAGACATCCAGTGGGAGATATTATGGTTGTTAGAAGTCCCTGATATCTCCGACTCAGAATTACAACTCGAAGGCTGAAGTGATCAGTTTTTTCGTAATGATGGTCTGAAAAATATGACATGAATGCAGCATTAGCCCTCTTTCACTTTGACATGTCCCTTTACTCTATTCTATTTTCAAGCTGGGCACAGTTTTTAGCACACGTTACTGAAACAGGATTTTACATTTGTTAGGGACAACCTGAGTGTAAATACTTGTTAGCAGAGCAAAACATTGTTGGTTTTGGTATTGTCCTGTAAAAAACATTTTATATTTACAGCCTTATCTTTTTAAATGAATCAACCATGGAGGCTATGTGACCCTGACACACAACAACTCAGGGACAATGGAGAGAAGAGTGTCAGAGGGTGACCTGAAGTTCAGTGGTAGTCTCGTGCAAGTGTGTGCGTGTGTGAGTGAGTGAGTGTGTGTGCAGGCCGATTTGTGGGTGTACGATAAAAGTAATATCTGGGGTCAAGGCGTCAATGATAGAGATATAATTATTGTTAGAACTGTGGATTGGACACAGGAATGAGGAATTATATATATATGTGTGTGTGTGTGTGTGTGTGTGTGTAGGTATGATAAGACAATATATGACAGGCATCACCAACAGGAGCTTCAGTTCTTAATCACTGTTCCTGCCTGCCTTTGCACCTCATAATGATGATAAATGGTCTAACTGTTGCCTTCAGTCACAGAACAAGAGCAGTCGTTGAGCCAAGCACAATGCTCTCAAATTCTAAGAGACAGATTAAAAGCAAGCAGGCGCACTGACATTTCCTCCAAATTACTGAAACTGTTATGGCGAAATTATTCATTAGTCTTTCCACCTTTGCCCTTCCAACAGCAGATCCTCACATGCACCTTCCTGTTTTTGGTTACTTTCATGTCCTTCCTCTACTCTCATCAAATTCTTCCTCCTCTTCTTCTTCTTCTTCTTCTCCTGACCTCCCTTTCTCCAAACCACACCTCCCTCATCTCTTTTCTTTCATTACCTCTCCCACCGTCACCTCTTTCTTTTTCCAGTCCCTCCTTTCTTTCCTCTTCTTTCTCTCTCCTTTTCATTACCACATCAACGTCTTGAGCCTTTTCCTTTCCTTCTTCTTCGTCCTCTTCCTGTCTCCCCTCTCTAGCTGGGCCCGGTGCAGAGTGATCCTATTGTTGTGTGTCTCTCTCTCACTCAGGAGCAGCACTTCGGGGACCTGCTGATTGGATTAGAGCTTTCTATTCCCTCTGGGTGGATCACAGAGCACAGATGCAAATCGCCACGAGCGTGGAAAGCGCGCCGTAGTTAACCCAAGACAACAATGCTGTCTGTCTGCAAGTTAAGTAGCAACCTGTGATGTATCGAGGACATTGTGTCTGTCTCTCACAATGATTCAGAGAGACGGAGAGAGATTTTACTGTCCAGGCATTTTCTGTAAAAAAATAAATAAAAATTGCCTGGCGCAACCTCTGCCATGTAGAGGAAAATACATACTTAACTTACTTTCACACTCACACACGCACACTCTCACAAAAACAAACACACACACACACACACCCCACAATGGGGCAGTGACAGATGTTTAAAGCCGGGGCAAAGTATAAGACCTTGATGCACACAAATACATACAGTTATAATTAAAGTGTAAGGGGTTTAAACCCTAATCTTCTGCGAACGCTAATCTGCAGTCAGTTGTTCAGCAAGCACACACAGAAAAGTATGAATGAGTGGTTGATAATTCACAAGCAAACACCACACGCCTTAAAGCGCAGCGACACTGGAGGCAAAAAGAAAATACTGTTATATAGTATGCTGCCTGTAACCGCGCATGTTTGTTAGGAAACATTTTTGCCGGTGTGTGTGTGTGCGCGGCGTACATGCTTCTTGCATGTTCATGTGAGGGGTCAGCGGCCTGTCCTCTCAGCGTTCCCTAATGCCCCTTCATCCAGGATGGAGGCTTGATGGAATCACAGGAAATTGGATTGTCTTCCATTTGCTGTGGAAGCAGCCTGGTAGAGACACTCCCTCCCCTCCTCAGCCCACCGCTCTCCCCCAATACCTGCAGTTAGCTACCCCCCCCCCCCCCCTCCCCTCTCTCTGGTGCACCCCTGTTCCCATCCCATTACGGAGGCGTGTCGCACCAAACCCCTGCTTTTACATGTCGTCCAAAGTTTCCCCTTGCGGTGCAGAAACGCTGGGCTGGATGTCAGCAGAGTGCTCAATAAAGCCGCTGCTTGCACAATACCAGCAGCAGCAGAGATCCAGCACTGTGTAGTGTATCACCCTAATGGGGTGGAGCAATATGCTTAGGAGCAGCATGGATGGGGATTGATCTATTAGTACAATTGCAGTTTTGCTGAATTTAAGTCACACCAATCTATCATTTTTACCACACACACACACAAAGTGAAGCGAGATGGATGAAAGAGAAAGACAGCAAAGCAAGGATGTAGGAAGCTTACGAGCGCAGTCTTATTTCTTTACAGATCCAAAGTAATACTGTAACTACTTCAAAATTGGTCCAATGAAAGATGATCGTGTGTGTTTACATTTGCGTCTTTTTGTCAGATTGTCCTAACGGAGCGCAGGAGTCAGACTGAGGTCAACAAGGATCGAATAAAGTGTCGTCTGTAACTCCGGTTATCTGCAGGAGACACACAAAGGGACTGTCACAGATGTTGTGTTCATTTCTGGAAAGTGGTTTAACTTGTTTTCTCCGTCTGTCTGCCTTCACGGACCTTGGACTACAGGGCAAGAATACTGCAAACAGTCACACAAGCTGTTTACACCAGCATTATGTGAAGGGATCAAGGGCACATCGGAGGCGGACACGTAACTCAGTCAGGGATACAAATAGGACACAGAGTTCCCTTGAGTCTATCTCCTCTTGAAACTAGGTTTCAATCTGTCTTTCATTCCGTTTGTCTGAGTCCGAGCCAGAGGAGAGATTGTGGACTAAAGGTAAAGGTCTGTCACTGTCAGGTCTGAGACTGAAGAAAGCACAGTGTGTGAATGCGTTTGGTGACCCCATGGACTGTAAAAGCGTTCATGTTTTTGTTAAAAAAAAAAAAAAATGCTACTTAAAAAGGTGCTACAGTTCAACATCCATAAATCATCGGTACAGTCATATTAGTGTAGCTAAAGACATTAGTGTAATTACAGCTAACAAACAAGACCGTAGCCAAGATTACTGGCAGACATCTTGGCTACGTCACTAAACAAGAGGAGGGGTTTATGCTCCAGTGGGCTACAACACCATCAAAGGAAGTGGGTTATCTGCAAAAACATACTTAATAAGATGTGAAACCAATATACAAAAGCTAATGCAGACGTCCTGAGCTGCAGTTCCTCTAATGACCACCAGCTGTATTAAACTCTACTAGATCTATTCATTCTCACCATCATATCCTCTCTCTCCAACTCTTCCTTTCTTTTTCCGCTTCAGCTCTTTTTTTCCGTCTCATCTTTGTGTGTCGGTAAACTTTCTCAGGGCTTTTTTTTTTTCCACTCTTCCTTTCCCCGCCTCCCCCCTTTCTCCCCCCCTACTGTCCCTGACAGCAACATTAAACAAGTGGGTAAAAATGGACAAGCAATTATGATTTATGATCAATGCATGCAGCAGCTGCTGACTTTTATAATGACAGTGGTCGGGGGGAGGGAGAGGGGGAGTGAGAGGGTATCAGTGTGTGTGTGTGTGTGTGAGAATCAGTCTCCAGGGTGTGTGCGGGGAAGATGAGGGGTGAATCGATAGGCGTCTGGGATCATTGGTATGCAGATTCCGGCAGATAGCATTATGATGAGCAGGTGCCATTAATCAGAAAGCAGAACACAGAGCTGAGAGAGATGGAGGAGAAGAAGACCCTCCTTCACCGGGTCCCATCTGTAACCAGATCAGCTACTGTGGCAACGACCTCACGGACCAGACAGAACCAACTTACGGCACTTTTTACTAAATGAATTACTAATGCTGCAGACTTTTCTGCTTAGCGTAATCTATAACAAAGAACATTTAGTATGCTATATGTAAATATAGAAGTTATATTATTGTCACGTAGATGTGCAGTTTGAAAATGCTCCCTTAGTGCATTTAAGGAAACTAAACATCTGAGATATTAAAGTCAGCTGTAGAACATTCACCAAATTCGCCCCATAATGTTATTGTCAATCTTATATTTCCTATCACACAGCACCTAACTCTCAAATCTCTTGATATGCAACAACGAGGAAGAGTTCCCAAAAGTCCATTGTCACCTGTATTATGATGACACAATGTATATAATGCACGATGTGATTTGTAATCAATGTAGATGTACAACAGTCATTGAAATCCATAGATGAAGCAATAAATGTTCATACAAACATAAGTATATATTGTTGTATGTAAAGGCCTGTGCATGCACATGAGTGTACCCGATGTTTGCTGTGTGTGTTGGGAAGCCGCCGCCCC